CCCCACACACCCACATACCCCAGCCCCCCACCAAACTATACCCACCTCCATGCCCCCCACCCCTACACAATATACAAGACTGAGACTTCATTTTAAGCTATTATATACAATCACCTCTACATATACTACGCAAACAGACGTAAACCAGGACAAAAATATATTTTAAAATCAATTAATGAATGTTGTAGATCGGGGTAGGCAACGTTTTTTGGTTGGAGTGTCGAAAAAACCACAATGTCTACCTTGGAAGGTGCTGGAGTGCCAACATGCTGGAGCCTGGAGCAGCTGTTTGCAGCCTCCTGGACGCAGCCAGCCCACGGAGCCCAGTCTGCTTGCAGCAGGGCTTGCAGCCTCCCAGCCACCTGCTGGGAGCAGCCTGGGCTCCATGGCTGGCAGCAGCTGCTTAAAGCCTTGGCTGGCAGTGGTGTGCCAAGCAAAATGGCTTTGTGTGTCATGCTCGGCATGTGTGCCAGGGGTTGCTGACCCCTGTTGTAGATGTTCACTTTTTAGAACATAATTTGGTATTTTTTGGTTCTGAGATGCCAAAACCCTTTGCTGAAAGGAGTACTTCTGGAGGCAAGGGGAGGGACTTCTGGTGGCAAAGGGGAGGGCTTAGGGGGCAGGGCTTCTGGTCAGAAGATGGCAACCAGGGAGCAGGGCATCTGTTAAGGGGTGGGGCTACCCCTGTGGCCCTTGACAGCTTGCCAAAACTCAGTAAGTGGCCTTCGGCCTAAAATAGTTGCCCACCCTGGTCTTCTAACAGTTTAAGTGTCTGGGTCCAATCCAAAGCCCAGTCAAATCTATGAGAGTCTTCTTTGTCTAACTAAAAAGCATTCAGATGCCATGGTTATACAGTATATGAGAATATATGGTACAGTATAGGAATATGATTAGAATTGTTAACTAAAATATAACTAATTCAAGTAGTTTGGGGAGATGCCTGCCTGAGTTTCCTGGTAGTTTTTATGGATGTAGAATAATATTTCCTATTAAATCTTTTCTTTTTCTTGTCTTTGAGTACAAGATTGACACAAATCACAGAATAAGCTAATAGGGGAAATAGTCAAACTGGGAATTTGCAAGATGCTATAAAATGCACAAAAAAAATCTTTTTTTCTAATCTCTTTTGTTTACAAACAACAGAGCATTTCTAGAAAATGGGGAAAATATCAGAAAAAATATGTTTTTAATTATTTTTGATGGGATCCCTTTTGATTTAATCTGGGCACCCTTACAAATAAAATG